AGTTTGTTGCAATGTCATCTTGACTAAAATAAAGGTTACAAGTCCAAAATTGTTAGTAATAGATTATGAAGGCAGAAATATGCCTATGATCTTTGAAAACCCTGGAATCCATGCCTGACATTCAAGCAAAATCCCTTGCTTTAAAGTTGTCTCATTTTTCCCCTCATCTACAGATATGGAAAAGCAAACAACAAAATCTTTCAATTTAAGCCATGCAAATATTTAAACTTTTGGTATTTTTTTTTAGCATCCTGGGAGATTGCAAAGCTGTTAAATAGTCATCTCACTTTCAAGGCTATTTTCATTAAAAAAAAAAAAAAAAAAAAGCACCTGAAAATGCATATATGCATATTCTTGGACAGGAGATCTTTTAAACATGTCTTTTAGTATTTTCTCTGAATCACATCAACTTTTTAATTTAAAAATTTTTATTGGTACCTTTGCAGTACATAATTACTACATCTATCATGGGAAGTCAGTAAAAGTACATAACACATCTTAATGGTTATCTCTTGCTTACCTCTAGTTTTGAAGTTCTTCAAATATGTGATCACAGATGTGGTAACATGCACTGCTACCAGACGAATTTCATTTGGACCCAGTTCATGATCAGCAAACGCAGTGACTTCAACTTCTTTGCAAGTCTCTATTGACTTAATCTTTGGAGTCTTGTTTTGCCATTTTTGCAATAAAGAAAAATCTCCCCCACAAGCTTCAGCGATTTCATTTTCTTCAGGCCCACACCTGATTCTTTTAGCCCATTTACTAAGTAAACTATTTTTGTTTGTCCTGTAGATATTTCAGATAAATAGTTTGTCTTTGACATAAAAGACGGTTTCATTGCTTCCATGCTTTTATTAGTGTGTGGTTGATTTGGAAAACCATAGCTCAACAGCACAGTATTGACAATATTTTCTACAGCTAAACATATTCTGAGTGGAGAAACCGTTGTCTGAATTCGGTCTGCCTCAACAACTGCTTTTAGGGTCCCAAAGTGAAATACTCTTGGATTTTCACTTTTTCCCAATGGATAGTTTGTAAGCAGAGGTAATGAACTGTTTTTTTCCTTCTCTTTGTGTCCCAGCAATATTTCATTTGATAGAGTTAATTGTGAAAAGTTAAGATTCTTCTCTGAGGAAAAATTAATTTCCTTTACAGATATTTTATTATGTAAAATCTTTAAGATACTGTCTATAATTTCACTCACAATTACATTTTTTTGGAATAAAATATTGTTTGGATATGGATGCATCTTTTGGATTTTTAAGTCTAAGTCATTTTTAATAAACTTCAAAGTAGCACTGGCAATGATATCAGCATACTCCTTCAGGCTAGCTTGTGATAAATGAATTATGGCTCCAAGTTTTTCTCTGTAACTGACAAAAGTGGGTTCTGTGAGCTCTTGGCTGAGAATGGTTTTAGTTGTTGATCTTCTTGGGACACTCACCTCTAGTTACTCTTGGCTTGATTCATGAAAAACACTGTCATCTTGTGTATAATTCTCCAATTCTGGACTAACAATTGACATTCCTTTAGGCTGAAAAGTGAGAGTAATAAGTGAATCTACTCTTTCTGCGGCAAAAGTTTGCAGCTGATCAAAAAGTTTTAATGATGAAGTCAGCACTTTCCTGACATGCTTCAGGAACAGAGCTCTTGGTGTCCTCTTTCTCCTCTAAAGCTGTGTGATCATCATTGCCGTATGCTTGTTTCTTATTGCTTGAATATGAAAACCACTCCGGTCTTCCTTCATTATTTGACTCCATAAAAAGAGATGCTTGATATTCTGCTTTTGGAAAGATATCACAGAAGGTTGATCTTGCAAAAATGGGATCCTTCACATCTATGCCAAGCATGGCAGCAGAAGTGATACCATGAAGAACAATATGCACTACTTCCTTGGTTAGCAAAAGGACATCTGACTTAGGAACTGCAAGTTCAGGAGTAATCTTATTCACACCCTCAGGGAACATTTCAGAATTTGGTTCTGAACATTCACCAGCTCTGTTATCTTTCAGGGTGAGTGTGGGAAATGAGAAATTATTCTTGTGCAGGGTTTTTTCATAAATATCACATAAGACACCTTCAATGGTACCTTGTATTTGAAACTGAAGTTTTTTTCTATACTCAGTCTTATTGAACATCTTTTCAATAATGCAGTCAGGCTGAGCAGAGTCATTCTCTTCCTCACAGCTGTTGTTACATCTGTTTTTGCACGATATAATATCTAGCATTGTGTTAACAACTTGACTTGTAATACTTTCAGAAACCACAATGTTATGAATCAAGAAAGGACTTTCCCTTTCTTTATCTAACTCATGTTTGATCCTCTGTAAAATTTTTCTAGCCACTTCTTTTGCATAAATATTTAGTTTAGGCAAAGAGATTTGGCAGGATGAATTGGTCTTATGATCCACTAAGCAACACAAAGATTGCATGTCAGAATATGAATCTTCAGCTGGTAGTGCTCTGCTCAGTGAATGATCTTGCTGAGTAGACAAAACCTCTGGGACTGTGAAGTTGACTTGGGAACAAAACAGAGATTTTATTTTGGAAGTAGCAAAAATTTCCAAGTTTTGAAATACTGCCTGTACAATATCTTCAGTCATCTTTACCTTGGTCTGTTTGTCAATATTGAATCTGTGCTGAAAAGTGCAAAGATTTCTGTCCAATGTAGGACCAGAGTTCCCTCCATAGGTATGTTCACAACAGGAAACAGGTGCTGAAAATGTGATGTTTTTAACATCTGTTTTCACTTACATTTTCTTCTGTTATGGCAGCTGCATAAAGCTTGTAAAATACAATTCTAACAATATCATTTGCCACTATAATCACATCTGTTTCAGACACTAAAGGACCCATCATTTTATCTGGAAATTGAACCGATGTTTGAGTAGTTGACTCATGAACATTGTGCGGCTCGCCACCAAAATGAGTGTGGGAGAGAGAAAGCACATTTAACTGATTGATCAAATTACTTTGAAAAATTTCATTCAAAATATTTCTTATAATGGGAATGACTGGAGATTTAAATGATTCTTTGAGTTTCATTTCAATTTCATGTAAGCTTGTTTCTAGAACCCTTTCTTTAGGAGAAGAGAATTTAGCTTCCTGTCTCAGTGATGTTCTCTCTCTAGTGAATTTTTTCTCTGTATGCATATCATCTTCTAGAAATGAATCTGATTCAGCTTCTCCAGGAAGAAAATTTCCATAAGTTGGTTGGTATCGGTAGGTTCTGATGCCTCTGTCTTCTGATTCAGTTTCAATTAGACATATCTGAGGATACTGCATCTAAAATTAGATTGACTATGTCCGTAAACATTTGTGTCTCAGGTGATGGCTCTTTTACATTTTTCCTCAAATCATCTGTGCTCACGTTTAATTCTGTCTGAATGGCTTTCAAAATAGCACTTGATACCTTCTTTGCATGTATAAAACAGACTCTAATGGTTCTTTGTGGGTATCTGAGAGAAGACTGTTACCGTCACTTTCCCTGTCTATCCTATTGTCTATTTTATTACCACCACTAATATCACCTTGAATTTCTAAATTTCCATTGGCAAACCCTTCCAGTTTAGTAAAAACCATATTAAGAATATCCGAGGCAACAGCTTTCAGGGTATTTTGGTGAGTTTCTTTTGAGCTCTCTGATTTGGAAGACAAAGAAGAAATACTTTTTGCCTTGCTTTTAGTCACCTCTTTAGTATCATTCTGTATCTTTCTGGAGATGATGCTGGATATCATGTTGGTGCATTTGGCAATTTCCTCAATAATTGAAACAAACGATAGCTTGTCAATATCAAAAGATTCTGAGACAGCTGTAAGTCCAGGACTTTACAAAACTGGTATCCACCTCAATACTACATAATTTTTCCAGGATATATTCTAAAATTGTTTTGGAAATGACCTGAATATTAGACTTCTGTGCAGCAGCCTTTTGTTGATCTTTGTATTCTCTCTGTTTTGCCAGCTACAAGATGTCTGAGAATCTGAAGGAGTACCTATCAGTTTGCTTAACATTTCATGTACTGTTTCCCCAATCCTATCTAATACCTGCAAACTGTCATTTTCTTTGAGATCTTTTCTGTTTGCGGCACTGTGGATAGTAGAAGGAGTAGCCAAATATTTACAAAACATTTTTTTGTCCTGTCTACTTAGCAAAATGTTTTGTTTGTCAGTACTGTCATATCCCAATGAAGCTGTAGACCCTGGTTTATCTGAAGGGAGTGAAATATTCTTTTGATTTTCATTTTCACTTAGTAACATTGCACAAATCCAAGTTAATAATGGGCTTTCCAAATTGGAATCTCTCATAACAAATCTCGATGACAATTTCTTACCAATATAAGTAAAAAGCCCTTTACTTGTAAGGGATTTGTTATGGTCTAGCTTCCTGAGAATTACATTTTTCTTATTGACTTCCAGTTCATTCTGGATAGCATGTAGAACAATATTTACTACTTTAGTTGTATAAGTACTAAGTTGAGATTTCAGTGAAGATCACTTGGCAGATGAAGGTTTGAATTCTGCTTGCAATTTTGGACAAACAAGTAACTTCAGCCTTTTAAAAATTGCATTAGTGATTTTATCAACAATTTTATCTACACATTTAGGTTTCCTTTCTCCGGATCTTAACCAGGAAGGCTTTGCGGAATCTACATCAAGTGAAGATAAGTATTTCATTTTCCTGTCACTATCAAACCATATTTTTAGTGGCTTTTTATCTGGTGCTTCTTTGCCTATATGGGTAATGTCAGAATTATCTAGAAAAGTTTGATGAACCGATGATGGAGCAGAACTTTTCGTGGTTTTGGACAAGCAGTTTGATGCCTTAAAAAGTATATTTAACACAGACTCTGTTATTCCTTGGGCCACTGCACTTATTTCAGACCCAGAGAACATCTGATCCATCCATTCTTGATCTGAGAGTCCTTGAGATGCTTCTGAAACAAGAATGGAAGATTCTTTGCCAATTTTGCTACCTAGGTGACCAGGAGAAACAGAAGATATATCCTTGAGCATTTCCGTTAAAATGTGTTTAACTGTGTTCTCTGAAGCCTTTCTTATTTGATGCTTTTGATCTTGGCTAAAAATTGAAACGTCTTTATTTAGGCAGTGTTTTCCCTTTAAAATGTCTTCATTGATAAGTGGTGGTAGCTCAGTCTTTAACTTCCAATCATGAAATGCAATGTTGCTGTGAGAAGTAGGCTTGGCTGGTGATCTAATATTTCTTTTGTATTCTAAAGAAGTGTTTCTTTTTGTGAACCAGTGATTAGATGTTGGTTCACATGATTTTGCTTTTTCTTCTTTGAGGGCTGAATCAATCACATTTTTCATGATTGTTGTTTATTTCTTCACTATCATCTTCAGAGTAAAGGACCATGCCTGGAACATTAACACGTGGGAGTGGTCTTTTACACTGAGCACCATTAGACACTGCAGTGCCAGTGAGCCTACACTTTTCTTTAGTGTCAGAAAGATTTTTTTGTCTATATTGGTTTCTTTTTTGAACACTTGGTTTTACTGGCTCCTGGTGAAGATGAGTGAAGATATCATTAAGTAGCTGAAGTAATATTATTTTTTGTTCAGATCCAATAAGTCTCTCATAAAGTTTGGTGTGTGTGTAACTTAATATTATGCTGATTGCCTCCTCTATGTAATCAACTAAAGAGGACTGTGAAAAAATGACATTAAATTTTGAATTTCTTCATCCACAATTAAATTAGCTGTCTCATGTTCAGGAGTAGATTTGTTTTTGCTAGCTCTTTGAAGGATGGTATATGTTGGGTCTGTCCTTTGTTGCAGATGGGAATGTTTAGTTATGTCTTTAAGAGGAAGTTCATTTTGCTTGAGTGGTACAGGTGTCATCAGCTTTTCTAAAATGCCATGCACCATATCTTCTGCGATATAACACATAGGTTCCAAAGTACAAGGCAGTGAATCTTCTGAAGGTTTTCTGTTTGATGATGTGAAATATTCCCCACTAGCTGTTAAACTTGATTTAATGTCTACTGACAAATTTTCTTGTGAAAAGACCTCAACACATTTTTTCTCGACTGCAGACTCTAGTTTCTCAAACACATTTTCTACAATGTCTGAAGCTAGTGAGCAGATATCAACATTGGAGACCAAGTCTTCTTTTTCAGGCTCACCATGGTCAACAAAAACTTCAGCAGTAACAGAAGAAATAGAGGGAATGGCCTGGGTTAAATCAGACATTGTTTCTTGAAAAATGCTCTCCAAAATCAATTTAGTTTCCCCTTTCAAGTGGCACTTAAAGTTAACAAAAATACTCTTTTAAATTCTTCAACTCATCCATGGCTTTATCTTTTTTTATCACAAGGCAATGGATGCACTAAGGCATCTGTTTGTGTGGTAGCATCCTTAGATTTCTTTGAACCTGTTGGCAAAGGTGCTAAAAGTTGACTATTGGACTGACAACTTCGGAGTTTGGGGTATGAATATACCAAACTGGCCTTGTTATAGTTGAGCTCCGAAGTTGCAGTTTGTTCTTTCCTGTGATGTGTTTTACCCATAACTGCTCTTTCCACCTGGGCAGAAGGAGGTTTTAAAGGTGGGGTTGGTTTCCTTGCTGACCCATTAACAGCAAACGTGCAAGTCTCTGCCTGAAATGTTTTAGTTGTTGCAGGTGTGTGGCTTCCATATGTAAACTCTTCACCGCATGTGCTGCGAAATCTTGAACCATCCGAAGAAAGGGTGGAGCTGTCAGACACTGGGTGCGAAGAATTTTGCAACCTTTCTTCATACCTTGTGATGGCTGGGTATAGTATACTAGTCACAGTAGCCACTACACAAGTCGATATATTCTGAATTATGCTATTTAGTTCGTCAGAAGTTACCTGCAAAGGAGACAGGGATAAAAACAATTATGTAATGCTATCCTTTATATTTTGTGGACTGACAGTAATATTTAATTTTTATAGGAAACAGTGCATAGCTGGAATAACATTATAGTTTGTGAAGAAAAAATATTACAATCTATTTACAACTGTAGAAGAATTTTAAATTGTTTTTATTTCACACTACATAGAAATACTTATGTATATAATTTTTACTCAGTCACATTCTTTCAGAAGGTTTTATTTCTTTAATTTTTCTAGTTCATTGCTGAGATAAATGAGTTTTTGGTAGGGAAAAAAAAGGAGAAAACACCAAGTTACCATCTCGGCACATGTCAGGCAAATATCTCGGCAAAGAATGTGATAGTCATACACACCAAATTATTATTAAGGCACACCAAAGTATTTCTAACAGGGGTGCTCGGAATCTGTGTGTTTTCAGAGGCGTCTATCTGAGCGTGGACAGGAAGATGGAAAATAAGCCTTCTCATCCATATTCGCTACTGCAAGGGCGAGTCTGATCTGTGCGTGTGCTGAGAACCACTTGTTAGAGAGGTCACAGGCTTTGCACCCACCAGGAAGAGCAGTGCAACCTGTTCAACATCAAAAAGAAGAATAAGAGATGATCCTATGGAGGAACAAATTAATGGAGATGGAAAATAAGGAGCAAGCTAGAACCAGTTTGCAAAGAGCCAGTGTTTAGCTGGGGTAGAAAAGTTAGAGTGGTGCCCCGGTTTGAACCATAAGCAAAGGGCCAGAAACCAGATTTGTATAATAATCTCCCTCGTGGTCAGTGTGGTTGTAATTGATGTACACAGGATGAGGCATAGGGAAAGAATACACCTATGGGATTCAAAAACATATAGTTACTGACTGCATACATACCCTGGGCTTGCATATGCCATCTTATTTATAATACACCAGTAGTCTGTTTGTAAATTATTATAATTCTTAAAACATATATGCTTCAAACACAAATAACGGCAACAGAGTTGGAAAGCTAGCATGTGAGCAGGACACTATAAGATTATGCAAATGGGGCTGTTCCCACCCATAGTATTGTCTAAATTAGTCTGAAATTATTCATGTTTTGGGGTAAAATCAAAGAAAGTAAACCCCTATGTAGCGAGTTTGGGGGTATTAACACAAGAAACGCCATTTTGTTTGGCTCTAGTCTCTGAAATTCCTACTAGATTTTTTTCATTAATCTTACAGACAGTGGCTAGTGGTTTGAAAATATTTTGGGGTGACAGATTACTTTATAAAACACTTATCTTGCATTAATGTGCCATAAATCAGTATTTCTCAGTATGTCCAATAATAAAACCTAAATTTTAACAGAGAAGATAATGGTTGCAAATCAACTACAACATAGTTTTGGATGTAGTGAAACAACGTAAATGGAATTACATTTTTCAAAGTTTCTCATTATGATATTAAACTAAGAAGTTTCCCTTGAATGGAAAGCTTTGTGTGTGTTGACTGCTCCATGGACTTAGTGGGTGTGTGTAGGAAATAATGTGTCCAAAATGCAGCTCCACACTGCTCCTTTTGTTTCCTGACGGATCTATCTAGACTCTTTACGCTAGGGCACCAACTACCTTTTAATAGCAACTTTAGACCATAACGAAATAGGAGACTAAACTGAAAGTAAACATCAAGAGGATAAAAGGCAAAGGACTGGCAAATTTCACTGCATGACTCTCAGGTGTCTAGTTTACAACTGTTTTTCTACTATAACAGTATAAAAAGTATAATTAATATGCTGCTTTATCAGTGGATTTTAGGATACGTACTTTCGCTGGCACACAATTTTGTAGAAGAGTCTGTTGTCTGTAAAGAAAGTTTGTTCATTTAGTTAGTAGTTAGGGTGAATAATTTACGAAAAAGTTTCCAAAATTTTAGTCATCTAGTCAGTTTCTTTTATATCAGAGAATATCTCTACAGAAAATTTTTTTTAAATGTGGTAGAACTGTGTGGTCTTAAATGGTAATCTTGCTCCCCCCTCTCATGTTGAGAAAAATAAATACAAACATCACTAAAATAGATTGTCACCAAAGGTTGAGGAATGAAAATCACCTGGGCTTAAAAATATATCTTCCAAGTGTCTAAAGCTTCACTAGAAATTATTGTTTTGTTTTGTTTTGTTTTGTTTTGTTTTTGGTACCGGGGATTGAACTCGGGACCTTGCACTTGTGAGGCAGGCTCCAGAACCACTGAGCTAAATCCCTGGCCCTAGAGATTATTATTTTGGATTACACTGTGTATACCTTGTAGGAAGGGGATTATTGATTAGATCATTAATTTTATATGCTAAACTCTTTCACCATCCTTAAGAAGCCAATAATCCCAAAAGGCATGAAGATGGTAAATCAGCTTTAAAGAGAAGAAAGCAAAGCATTCAACTCATGGGAAGCAATGTGGAAAAGAGGCATGAAGATCCTGAATGTAGGCAAAGTGAGGAGAAGGAGACAAAAAGGAGGAAGACAAACGCTGCCTGTAGCTACAAATTGAACTTAGTTCCAAGTTTTCAAAAAATGAAGTTTCCCTAATTCCAAGTAGAACTACAGGAAGAGAAGATTCCACGTAGCCATGTGCTATGAATAGGACTTGTGTGCAATTATTAAAATACTAACTCATGATTGCACACTAATTTTGAGATACTTACATATTTGAGACAATAGGGGCTGCAGCATGAGTTTGAGGTCCTATATAAGACGAAAAGAAAATTTAAATTTCTACACATCCTTGATTTACCAATTAGGTCAAGTTTAATAGGTAATTCATTTCTCTTGCTAAGCAGTAACAA